GACGGATTGGGTGCACCGCAGTGGTGGAATTTTTTTTACTACCGGTTCTGTGGGTGTGGCTTGGTGGGCGTGGCAGGGGAAGCATACTGCAAAATCCCCATTCCCTCCCCACTCCTGGGGGAAGGATATTGCAAAATCTTCATTCCCACCCCACTCCTGGGGGGGAAGGATATTGCAAAATCTTCATTCTCACCCCACTCCAGGGGAAGGATACTGCAAAATTCCCATTCCCTCCGCACTCCTGGGGTAAGAATATTACAAAATCCCCATTCCCTCCCCACTCCTGGGGGAAGGATATTGCAAATCTCCATTCCCACCCCACTCCTGGGGGAAGGATATTGCAAAATTCCCATTCCCTCCGCACTCCTGGGGGAAGGATATTACAAAATCCCCATTCCCTCCCCACTCCTGGGGGAAGGATATTGCAAAATCTCCATTCCCACCCCATTCGTGGGCCAGCCAGAGGTGGTATTTGCCAGTTCTCTGAACTACTCAAATTTTCCGCTACTGGTTCGCCAGAACCTGTCAGAACCTGCTGAATAGCACCCCTGGTGCGCGGATGCTAAATTCTGTGATCGCCAAAGGCTATCGTAGGCTGTAATAAATCGTGGTTGGGCACTTATATCAAGCTGAGTCAGCGCCTAACGAATTAAAGCACCAGCCACATTCTGTTAGCTCTGCTGGAGGCAAAATTGCAAAGCAACTAATTTGCCATTTCCATAAAGCTGAAGGTTAACCACAGGAGGTGTCCAAGCTGAGCCTTTAGGGATGAAAGATGCAGCTTTTCCCTCCCTGCCTCTCTGTATTGTTAAGTGTTCACATCCTGAAACCTACCTAAATAGGTCCATCACAGAGTGATGCTAAATGTAGAGAACTTTTATACCCACGATCCAATTAAGATTAGTTTTGGGTTTTTTTTTGGTGGAATGACAGTGCTTTTCCTTTCCTTCTGTAACTGAAATAAAGAAAGAGGCCCATTCAGATGTCCCTCTGGGATTGTGCAATCCGTCCAGGAAAAAGCAAAACAATTTTGGTTGCCTCCTGTAATTAAAATGTTAGCAGGATCCAGTCTGAGTCGGCCACCAGGACCAAGGGTTTATTCTTCCAAGTTTTGGGGCTTGTGCGGGAACTCATCCTCAAGGAACTTCTTGTTCTGACCTAGGCTTCCCAAGAGCATGAAGCGGAGTCCTTGTCCCGACAAAAAACCCTGTTTATTAAGTTACTGTGAATTCCTCTCATTCACATCCAGCAACGTCTTTCAAGGGAGAATTTACAGTCACAGACCTTATCTGGCTTGGAGAGCTGCCAGGCTGATACCTTCCAAACTTGGCAAGGAGTTTCTGAGAGTCACGAACCAATTAAGCGACCTAATTGTCTCCTGTAAACTCCACTCCCCTTTCGCTCCTCTTTATTCCCTAGGGGAGGGGCCATTCACCGTCCATCTGTGGCTTTACTCCTGAGTCGACCCTTGTTCCTTAGCTGTTCCCTTCTCGTGGCAGCTCTAAACATGTGCACACTGGGAACAGGATCCAGCTGTTCTTCTGCCTCACTGATGTCCGACTCCGAAGGCAGCTGACAACTGTCAGACGGCCCTGGTCCCATCTCTGCCTCCGACGCAGAGCCCTCATCAGAGCCTTCCCCAGACTCCAGGACTGGCCCATGTTCCTCCCCAGCCTCCTCACTGTCTGAATCTGCCACCAACTCTGCTGGCCGCTGGCTGGCCACAACACTTCTCTCTCTGTCCAGAATATGTGTGCTGTTCTGTGTGTTTTATTTATATGGATTTCTGACTTGTGTAGCTTTTAGGAGTTGATTAGGGTGTCGATGGCTGGATCCTACAACATTATCCTGGGACACTTACATTTACCTTCATTCACATAAGATATTAGCCCACAAATCGTATTGTGACCCTGGAAACTAACTGTTGCACATTTAGCAAAATGACAACTTTTCATAAGGGAGTGGTTGATACAAGAAATGGGACGAACTTTCATCTTAAACTTCGTTCTCCTAGTTATCTTTCAGTAACTGTTATTGTTGTGCTGTAACTTTCCTATTTCTTTTCCCGCTTTCCGAACATTGCTAACCAATCCAGCGTAGATTACTCTTTCGAAAGCATTAACAGATTGCTTTGGATGATAAGGAGCTCGGCAATTAATCATTCAAAGTCTGCCTTTTTGTTTTGATAAGCTAATGTGGAATGCTGCCTGGGGCTCAAACATGCTTTTAAAGATCCTGAGGTTTGTTTTTAATTTTTGCAGTTGCCATGAGAAAATGTCCTTTTGCAGGTTGGCGGAAGAACACTGCAGCCAAAAGGGCAGTGGATAAATATTGAGACAGGCCTTCGTATGCTTCAAATAACAGAAAAGAATACAGATGTGTAAGATGGTTCCACATCAGAGTGATATCTTTGAAGTACAAATAAAAGAAACTATTCCTTGTCCTTTTGGCTTGCTTCTGATCGAGCCACCGGCTTCAACTTGAAAGAATATTTATTCTAGTTCATAATTTGCAGCTTTAACCTTCTTCTGGCACCGTGGAATAATTCTCTCTTGTACAATAACAACATCTATCTGTTGCCAGCTTCTGACATAAAATCTTACAGAAACTTGCCCGGGAAGAAAAGCAATTGTTCCAAACCAAAAATGGGACATACAGGGGGGCAAGGCCACAAGTGAAAATTGAGTTGGGTGTTTTGTGGATCCGTAGGTTGTGAGAATGAGCGGCGTGGTGGCCTAGCGTTGAAGCTAATCGCCTCCCGTTCAGAAGGTTGAGAGTTCAATCCTAGGTAACGGCAGATATTTCTCTCTCCCCAGGCGCAAAGAAAAAAAAAAACCTGCTGCGAACTTCACGTGGTGTCAGGAAGGGCATCCAGCCAGTAAGTGCTCAGCTCCATCCAGTCGCCCCAACTCTACCCCGAATTACTTAAGTCAGGGGTGTCCAAACTTTGCAACTTTAAGACTTGTGGACTTCAACTCCCAGAATTCCTCAGCCAGCTTTGCTTGTTGAAGTCCACAAGTCTTAAAGTTGCCAAGTTTGGACACCCCTGATTTAAGGGATGAGAGTTGTAAAAAGGGATTAGATTGTGAGACTGTAGCCATCGTCTTAGCATGCTACATGACTCAGGCCATCACCAAAAGCCTGGGTTATTTGTTTGGATATGGCACTGTATGAATATGTCTTTATTAATTGTGCCATTGGGATGTATTTTTTTGGTGATTCATACACTGTAAACTGGATTTATATTGGATTTACATGTTGTATGGACACAACTAACATGGCTTATATGCTATAACAGCTTAGCTCATTGCCTGAATTCAGACAATTGTGGTCTATTGAATAAGACAAGATTAAACAAACTGTCTGGTGTGAACGACAAGGTCCACTAACTCTAACCCTAACCTGTATATTGTACCAGTCAAAAAGAGGGCTGTGAAAATATCTACAGACCCCTCACATCCTGGACATAAATTGTTTCAACTCCTACTCTTAAAACGACACTATAGAGCACACCAGAACAACTAGACACAAGAACAGTTTTTCTCCCCCATGCCATCACTCTGCTAAACAATTAATTCCTACAACACTATCAAATTATTTACTAAGACTCTATTACTATTCTTCTTCTCATTCGTACTAGTACCTATCTCTCCTCACTTATGGCTATAACCTTGTTGCTTGTATCTTTATGATTTATATTGTTTTATTCAATTTCCTAATATGACTTGATTGCTTATTTAGTATCCCTGTGACGATCACTAAGTGTTGTATTTTATGATTCTTGATGAATGTATTTTTTATGTACACTGAGAGCATATGCACCGAAGACAAATTCCTTGTGTGTCCAATCACACTTGGCCAATAAAGAATTCCCATCCTATCCCATCTTCTATTCTTTCCCATCTTCTATTCTATTCTATTCTATTCTGTTCTGTTCTGTTCTATTGTTTCTTATTCTGTCCTGTCCTGTCCTGTCCTGTCCTGTATCCTCTTCCTTATTCTATTCTAATTCTATTCCATTCTCTACTTTGTAGTCTATTCTCTATTCTATTCTGTTCTGTTCTATTCTGTTTCTATTCTGTCCTGTCCTGTCCTGTCTTGTCCTGTATCCTCTTCCTTATTCTATTCCATTCTCTATTTTGTAGTCTATTCTCTATTTCTATTCTGTTCTGTTCTATTCTGTTTCTTATTCTGTCCTGTCCTGCCCTATCCTATTCTGTATCCTCTTCCTTATTCTATTCTAATTCTATTCCATTCTCTATTTTGTAGTCTATTCTCTATTCTATTCTATTCTGTTTGGTTCTATTCTGTTTCTTATTCTGTCCTGTCCTATTTTTTATTCTATCCTGCCCTGTCCTATCCTATCCTATTCTGTATCCTCTTCCTTATTCTATTCTAATTCTATTCCATTCTCTATTTTGTAGTCTATATTCTCTTCTCTTCTCTTCTCTTCTCTTCTCTTCTCTTCTCTTCTCTTCTCTTCTCTTCTCTTCTCTTCTATCCTATCCTATCCTATCCTATCCTATCCTATCCTATCCTATCCTATCCTATCCTATCCTATCCTATCCTCATTATTTTTGATACTTCTCCCCCTAACTCTCTTTCTTCAGTTTGGAGATTTGCAAAGACCGGAAAACCAGGTTGCCTTGTATATCTGACATGGCCAATCCTTCACAGGTCACACAGCCAGTAGAGAACACACAAAGTGGAAACCAGCTTTCGGCCAGGTTTCATGAATGGGAGGAAGAGATTCCTTCCCCATCCCCACCCCTCCTCTCTGGTGAAGAAAATATCTTGGACTGATATACTATAACACACACCCAATAAAATATTTTTCCTGCTGAGAAATTACGACAGTTCCATTCAATTCTCCTGGGATATATGTTTGGCAGAAAACTAACTCCGGTAAGATTCTTCCCGTTAACCAGAATCACGGCTGTCGAATACGTAAGAATGGAAACAAAACGAATGACCACGAATAAGGCAGACGATGCTCCTACCTTGTTCCGGCAAGGTCTGCGCTGGTCTTGCAGTGGACAGCGTGGCTATGACCAGCACAGCCCCCAAAATAAGACACTTCCACGTAAACATCCCACTTCTCCTGCTACTGGTCAGCAACAGAGTTCTCAGAATCCATGAGGGCTTGGATGTTTGCTGGCCAACAGAGAATCGTTTCCTTCTTCCTTAAAGTGAAGGTCTTCAGCTAATCTAAAGAGGAGGAGAGGGAGAGAGAGAGAGAGAGAAATAAGTTAAATGCACCAGATTTTTATTTTTTTTTAAAAAAACCAAAATGTAAATACTTCCAATATTTCAATTAGGACCCCTAATTTAAGATCCTTTGTGTCCTGTGTGTTGTTAAGGATTAACAGATGTTTTGTAGGCACAACACTAGATACTTAGTGTTAAGGATATTGTTGTTGTGTTACCAACCAGCAGAGTGTAGAGCACAGAGAAATGTTGCTGAGAGCAATGAATAAGAGATGTGCAAACTGGTTTATCAAAAAGTTTACTTTATAGTGAAAAAACAATTTCATAGTCATTAAATCAATCCAAGTCTTTGCCAGTTAAATCAGTCCAGTGATACAAAAATCTTCTTACCACACAAACAGTAGTTGGTTAGAATAACAAGCTCACTCTGGTTCACAAACCACGATGGTAGCAGATCCATCCAACGATGATAGCACAATGGTAGCAACTCCACACACTATGGTAGCATATCATCGTTGGATGGATCTGCTACCATCGTGGTTTTTAATGGTGGACAGGACCACATGGTTTGAGGTCCTGGGGGGAAAAAAGAGCAGAGATGCTGAGAGTGCCTGGGTTTTATGCTCTCTCTGGGATTTTGAATTTGAGCTTGTATTCTGATTGGTTGTGAGACTCCCATGGGGCCATGCAGGGGCAACTCTGTAGGCTGTGTATTTGAGTCCCAAGCTTGGTTGACTCTTGCTGGGTGACGATGTAATGAAAGAGCTTTGGGCAATTCCTACTATGGCTCTGCCTGAAGGAGGTAAATCTTTGTTATGTAGAATAGACTGGCCCAGGCTTTAATGGCCCATTGACAAATGGGGGTGGGGGCTGAGTTTCTGCCTCCCTTTTAGGGGAAATATTCTGCCCTTTTAATATTTCTTAAAATAACTCATTTTCCTAGGAGACGGGTGGGTGCAGGGGTGAAATCCAGTAGGTTATGACAGGTTCTAGAGAACCGGTAGCGGAAATTTTGAGCAGTTTGGAGAACCGGTAGCGGAAATTTTGAGCAGTTCGGAGAACCGGTAGTGGAAATTTTGAGCAGTTCGGAGAACCGGTAGCGGAAATTTTGAGCAGTTCGGAGAACCGGCAAATACCACCTCTGGCTGGCCTCCGAGTGGGGTGGGAATGGAGATTTTGCAATATCCTTCCCCCAGGAATAGAGAGGGAATGGCTATTTTGCAGTATCCTTCCCCTGGAGTGGGGAGGGAATGGAGATTTTTCAATATCCTTCCTCTGCCATGCCAACCAAGCCCACCATGCCACGCCCACAAAACCAGTAGTAAAAAAAATTGGATTTCACCACTGGGTGGGTGCTAACTTCCTATAAAGGGAAAAAGAAAGTTCAGTTGCCTTTTGAAAAAAAACACCTTTGGGAGAACCGATGATGGAGAATCTCTATAGACATTTAAAATGGGAACATTTTTAAACTACCTCTGTGTTCATGATGGGAACTTACAGGGATATTGCTTGCATGTGGAATGTTCAACCATGGCTTGGTTTAATGATTCTTCCAAGTATGGAAGAAGTCATCTGATGGCCAAAGTATTACACCGAGCAGAAGTTGCAAAAAAATTGAAGGAGCAACCTGCCAAAACAGTGACTTGCAAGATCAAATTTGCCCTTTATTCTCACAATTTTTAACCTACAGAGAACCTGTTAACAATTCACGGAAGAATGAAGACACCTGATCAGTAGAATAAAAAATAAACAACAAAGCCAGCCAATTAAATGCAACTCCATAAACTACTTATTTCAAAAATAGCACTAAAGAATCATATATTTTTTTAAAAAGGGAAGTGGTTCTTCACTCAGCGTAAAAAAGAGACCATGTTTCCCCGAAAATAAGACCCTGTCTTCTATTTTTTTGAACCCTGAAATAAGCGCTTGGCCTTATTGCCATGAGCTCAAAAGCATGGTAATGGGCTTATTATCAGGGGATGTCTTATTTTGGGGGAAACAGGGTACTACTGCTTGTGCTGTGTTGGTAGCTCTGAGAGGACATTATCCTGTTTCCCTGAAAATAAGACATCCCCCGATAATAAGCCCAATCGGGCAGTGGTGGGTTCCTCCTGGTTCGGTCCGGTTTGGCCGAGCCGGTAGCGGTGACGATATGATGTCACCGAACCGGTTCTCCCCCCCGCCCTCCCCCCCACCCACATTATTCTTACCTTTTATTTGGTCCCTCCCCCAATCTATTGCTGCCTCCTGAGTCCCAGCTGATGACTAGAGGGAAAAAAACTGTTTAAACTCTTGCCGCGGAGCTTCAAAGGACCGTCCTACAGCTGATCAGTGTTAAAAGCAAACAAATGAATCGGGTCGTAAGTGCGAGGACTGGTCTTAAGTGCGAGGACCTTCCAGAAATGACTCTGACCAGCTAGCCACCCCCACCTAGTCACATGACCTCCAAGCCACACCCACAAAATAAGCCATGCCCACAGAACCGGTAGTAAAAAAAATTAGAACCCACCCCTGCAATCGGGCTTTTGAGTGCATGCGCTAAAATACCCCCCCCGAAAATAAGCCCTTCCAAAAATAAGACCTCCCTGAAAATATTTAACCACATACGCAGCCGGTCCCCGCCATTTCCTCTGGTTAGGGTTAGGGAGACAGAGCTGGAAATTAGGTAAAACGGCAAGAGGAGCCCCGTCTTGCTCCACGCGCCCCAAAATAATAAGATCTCCCTGAAAATAAGGCCAAGCGCTTATTTCGGAGTTCAAAAAAATATAAGACAGGGTCTTATTTTCGGGGAAAACACGGTAATTTCATCCCCTTCAAAATGTTCTGAATGTCCCTTTGCACATTTGAGCGGCTTCCAAAACTCACAAAACTTTGCTGGGAGAAAACGCTTCAATAATACAATAAAACATCTGTCCCCCAAAAAAAGGCAAGAGATAAGATTAACCCAACAGTTAAAATCATGCCCGTATCTTAAAAAATAATCACAATCAGGGTGGATAAAAATCAATGATTTTTTTTTAAAAAAAATTTTTTAAATCAGATTTTTTTTTATTTAAATTGGATTTTTTTGATTTTTATCGAATTTATTTTAATAAAAAACTTTGGGGGTAAAAATCTATTGTAAGGTAGTTTTCTATTTAAGATACATAAAGAATTTAGTTTATTCAGCATGAAATGCAGCTTAGTGATTTAGCATGAGGCTGTATATTCTGCAACACTGGGACTATCGGTGAGTCAACAGTGGGTCAAAGGAGTAGCAGAGATGACAGTTGCTCTTTAAAAATTATGATTTAAATCGAGTTGATTTAAATCAAGCCTTTTTACTAGTGATTTAAATCAAGATTTAAATCGTGATTTAAATCAACTCGATTTAAATCAAATCCACCCTGATCACAATCCTTCAAGAAATAAGTGAATGGATGGATGGATGGATGGATGGATGGATGGATGGAAGGAAGGAAGGAAGGAAGGAAGGAAGGAAGGAAGGAAGGATGGAAGGAAGGAAGGAAGGAAGGAAGGAAGCAAGCAAGCTATATCCAACCCTATAATTCTATGTTTTTATGGCAGTGACGGTGAAACTTTTTGGCACTGAGTGCTGAAAAGGAAGCATGTGTGCCTCTGGGCCAAAACCCGGAAGAGGAGCTGACCAGGGCGCATGTGTGCGCCCAAAAATGAACTTCCGGTTTCAACATACTGAACTTCCGGTTTGAGCCAGCTATTATTCTGGGTTTCTGGTACGCATGCACACCCGACGATCAGCTGGCCGGCGTTCATGTTCACGCAGGAAAATGGAAGACCAGCTTTTCCCGTTTCCGGCATTGCCTCACGCAAAAAGCCAGCTGATCCGTTGGGTACGCACGCGCGCCAGAAACCCAGAAGAGGAACAGGTGACGCCGCGTGTGCCAGGGGACACGGCTTCGCGTGCCACTTTGGACCCGCGTGCCATAGGTTCGCCGTCCCAGTTCTGTGGAAAATGGAAAAGCAACAGCGAGATCCTGAGCAACACATTTGGAGCCTAGTCTTCATAGTTAGGTCAACTATTTCAAAAATGCGTCGTTCAGGCTCTTGCTGTTGTTTTCCGGCCTTCGTGTCTGGTGCCAGTTTTGTTGAAGTGCCCAGCTTTGTTCCATGGCACCAGGGCTTTTGATAAGCAAGTGGAATTTGATCCAGTGAGCCAAGAACGGCTGAAAAGCTGTCAGTATTTTTCAAATGGTTTTGTTTATCCACATACCACTCGAGAGGAGCCAAATTAGGAGAAAGGGGGTTGTTTTGCTCCCTTTTCTTAAAGAAAGCTGGCGAGTGGGACAAAAGAAAAGAAGAGAGAATGTAGAATAATTGTGTTGTAAGGGACCTTGGAGGTCTTCTAGCCCAACCCCCTGCCCATGGCAGGAAACCCTATACCACTCCAGACAAATGGCTCTCCGGTCTCTTCTTGAAAACCTCCAGTGTCTCCAGACCTAAACCCTATAGAGCCGTGGCACAGCTGGCACGTGGAGCCTTATTGGTGGGCACGCGAGCATTGCCCTAGTTCAGCTCCAGCGTGCATGCGCGCGCCGGCCAGCTGATTTTCGGGCCTTCCGGATGTCGGAAAACAGGCTGTTTCCGGCCTCCAGAGGGCCTCCGGGGAGTGGTGGTTGGGGAAGGCTGTTTTCGCCCTCCCCAGGCTCCAAGAAAGCCTCTGGAGCTTGGGAGGGCGAAAAACGGGCCTACTAGCCCCATCAGGCCATTGTGTGCCAAAAGCGGGGGGGGCGCATGGGGGTGGTGGTGTCACGTGCGGGGGCAGGGCGCATTGAATTATGGGTGTGGGCATGTGTGTGCGCGACCCCCCCACGCTCCCCCTGCTTTTGGCACGTGATGGCAAAAAGGTTAGCCATCACTGCTATAGAGCATATGTCGGGCATCCGGAAATGGACGGTGGAGGTGCACAAGGTCTCTAAGATTCACCAGCTCCATGACGTCATCATGGAGGAGTGGAAGAAGACTCCAGTGGCAACCTGTGA